GGAAAAGTGGGGGTCGTCTTGTACATGGGGGCGTCTTATTGATGGAAAAATATGGTATTTGGAAGAGTTTTGGTAAGGACAGATGCAATTAAGGCAGACATTAATGTGATCATAGTTTTTCTCTAGTATGCTTGAATCAGGCTTTCTACTCTCATAAATAGAGTGGTAGCAGCTTTGTAAATTACCCTTTCAAAAGGCTTAAACGGTAAGTATTTCTTAAGAAGAAAATCTGTGGATAGCTCTAATCCTTGGGACGTACCCAAAATGTTAGGGGCATTAACCAAGTTACATAAGAACATAAGCAGTGCCCTGCTTGATCAGAATCCAGGCCTACCTGAATAGCAGTCTGTTCTCACAGTGACCAACCAACTGCACAGGGAAGCCCACTAACCTTCCAGCAAATGGCCTTCAGAGGCAGTCACACTGTCATCAAGGCTAATAGCCATTGATCCCCATGACTTCCATTAATTCAGTGTTTCTCAAAATGCAGTCCAAGGATTCCTGGGCTCCCCCAAGACCCTCTCAGAGGTCCGCAAAATCAAAATTATTTGCCAACCTATGTTGAAAAATAATACAATACAGGTGGTCCTCATTTAGCAACCACAGTTCGGACCAGCAACTTGCTTGTTAAATGAAGCAGTCACAAAGTAAAACTCTGTGCTTTTGATCTTACAAAGGTCATAAATGTGAGGATTGGTCGCAAAGTTACTTTTTCATCACTGACGTAACTGCAAATGGTTGCTGTACGAGGCAGTTGCTAAACGAGGACTACCTGTATTAAAATCCCATCAAACGATTGTGAGAAGCAGTAGTGGCAGCAAATGCACCAATGTTAATTTTTAATACAGTAAATATCAATAAATATAAGCCATACAAATAAAAGCTCTTTTGGGGTTCTCCATAATTTTTAGAAGAAGGAGGGGGTCCTAAGAGAAAAAAGTTTAAGAAACACTGCATTAATTTGTCCAATACTTCTACCTTTAAAGTTACCTTTAATTCTTTGCATAAGCTGTTACATGTTTCTTCCTTGGAGGGGTGGGAATTAGTGGCCATCATTTCTGTGTAAGATTTCAGAACTAGGAGCCTTATCAGCCAAAAAGGAACAATCATATGTCACTCATGTTGTATTGCTTTTGATCCTATTTTCATGCCAAAAAAATTAAGGCTTTCACAAAGTCTAGGAATTAATACTGCCTAATTTTTGTTCTGTGCACAAAAGCATCTATATAAAAAGAAATGGCAAAGAATTAAATATTCCTTGACTTAAATACTCTGAAAAATTCCAGATATCTAATTCATGATTGTTTATTTTCAAGTCAGATTGGATACTAAAAAGACCCTCATAAATCAGACTGTAACTTTCATATTGCAGTGTTACAAGGTCTTAACTTCCTTGCCTGTCACATCCTACATGATGGCCTTTTACCATTACAGTAGTACCTCGGTTCAAGAACACTTCTGTTCATGACCAATTCGGGTCACGAACAGCTCTGTTCGCAAAATTTTGCCTCCGCAAACACCGGATCGAGTGACGAACAGGATCCGCGGCCATTTTCCCTCCCGTGACACGTGGTCGCAGCTTCCTGTAGGGAGGGGGACTCTCCCT